AAAAGTTGTATCTTTTCCTACCTGCAGAGAAATTGATTGCAATTAGGAGGGGAATTCCTCATTACCATCAGAGGGAATTTCCCCCCATTGTGAATTAGAGGGATTTTCCTCTGGCATGCAACTATTAGGGCTATGTGGCAATTTGGATTTGAAGGAGAAAAGGTGATTTGGAGTTCATTCAGGCACATAGGTACCCTCTGTCCTTATACTAAACATCTACTTTCTTGGGGTCTTCTGGTAGATCCAGATGGTGGCTGTGTAAGCTTTGGAAAGAATGCAGCTGTTTTAAGGATATGCTAATAGCTGCTGTTGAGAATTCCCTGATTCATTCTGAAATCATTTTTCCCCTTCAAATCCAGATCACCCTATAAAGCCTTAACAATACATGAAAAGCTATATTATATTTCCATACCTGCTCAGATCCCCTAATAATTCATCTTATCCCTCGAGTTGTATTGAGAGGCCTCATCTTTACTTTACACCTTTACTTTAAATACCAACTGGGGTTTTGCTATAGCTATCATATAACTAGGGCTCAAAAATCTAGAGAAATGAGTGTTGATGTTTTGCTTCAGCAGCTCCTGGGTTGAACAGGAAGAGATAAGTATCAGCAGTGAAGAAAAAATGCTTTAATCTTTCTCCCTACATGTGAGGGCTTTGAATTCTAGATTGCAAATACCAATGCAGATCAGCTACAATATACACCCAGAATGTAAGATGGCATTTAATCTTGAGGTGCCTTGGTTGCAAGCAAGGTTATTGTTTTTAATGCTTCTTCTAAAGGTGTTCGGATGGATTTTGATTGCCAGTGTCTTCACAGTGGCCCTTCTTACCACCTGCATTGCTCGCTGCCGTTCTCCAGTCAGCGTTCTTCAGCTTGCATTCTGGAAAATCTACCTGCAGAAGGAGCAAGAACTTTTTGAAACCATGGCCAAAGAACACGCGTCAAAGTTAGCAGAGAGGAATCTTAAAAGTTTCTTTGATTCCACGGAGCTGGGACCATTTCATACCCCAAGTGCCAAAGCCTGGGATAACATTTCCTCCTTGTTTGCCTTTAATCCTAAAGACAATTGCTACAGTATGATACATAAATATGTCAGTCAAAAATCTCAAAGTGGCAGCATTAAGTCTGCTGAAGGAGATATATACCCCACTTGTTTGCAATTTGTAGATGGTGCAAATGTTGAAGTCCAAGTTTTGTAACCTGAGAAAATGCCTCAAACAAGAGCCTTCCTAGCCTCATGAAGGGGGAAGGGGGAAATCTATTTGCTTGTAAGATTTTGTTATTCGAACCTTCTAATAAAAGTAGCATTAGCTTCTAACAAAAGTAGTATTTAGCTTTCATAATTTTGGTTTCCCAGTCTGGTCTACCTTGAAGGGCTGACAAGTATCAAGGCTTGTTAATAGCTACATTATGCATTATTTCATTACTTTGTTATATGGAGCGTTCATGATTCTTGTGCCCCCACCCCCCCATGTGCTGTTCATGATTCCTGTTGTCAAGTTTTCATTTAATAAGTAAAATGTCTGCTCTCTCCTGAATTTTGTCCCATGTCTTTTCTTCTCCAAATATAATTTTTATTAAGAATATTAATTACAATAGTAAAAAGTGAATACAAAGTAAACTTAGAGAAAGAGAAGACAATGGAAAGAAGAAAAACATGCAGGAAAAAGAGAAGAAAGGAAAAAGAAGTATACAATATTGAAAAAGAAAAGAAGTGTATGAAGTGACTTTCAGCCTTCATTGCAAGTGTAAACAAATACAATGAATTTTTACCCTCCATGAAAGAGAGACGGAGGGGGGAAGGAGGAAGGGAGGGAGGGAGAGGGAGAGGGAGAGGGAGAGGGAGAGGGAGAGAGAGAGAGAGAGAGAGACTTATTTACTTCTTAATCTTTAATCCAATCAAATACTGTGATAGGATTTGATTTCTCTTCAATTCTTCTATACTCAATGGCATAGATTTCTTCAAGCCTCTTTTGTGTATTCAATAAGAAAACATTTTCCAAGTCATAGGTCAAGAGGAAAGGAAATCCCCAAGTGCATTAGGCAGGGATCAAGATCTCAGCCAGTGCCATGCTTCAGGTTTTCCAAAATCTTGCTGGTCAGGCAGAATAGGAAAAAAATTGAGTTGGCATCTTAATGTGGATTATGTAGAAAATATTAGGAGTTAAGTATCTAATAAAGCAAATGATTTTACTGATTTTTAATTGAACTTGATGTGCATAATTGTGGTTTAAGAAGAATATTTCTCCCACATTTTTATAGTAGGATTCTCGACAGGAAGTATGTATCAAGCCAGTTAAAAGAGTAGTGTAGCAAATGAGTTTAGAATTGCAGTTGATACTTCTTAACAAGTAAGGCCTTTAAAATTGCTGTGTAACTTATCAGTAATATTAAAAGTGGGGATAGTTAAATACAGTAGGGGAAAAAAATTCTCTCTTTTACTTTCACTTATACTTTCATCACCATGCTCAAGAGAATATTGAATGAGTTCTCTTAATGTCTTAATTCTCTAAGTAAAGCAAGGATTTTCTCATCTTTTCTTATTAAAACATGCCATCTAGCTCAAAAGGAATTCTTTATTTCAGATATTTTTGTTCCTAGGATACTTCCACTCCCGAACCACTGCATTTCTCAAGGATGATGATTTAGCTTTATTAATGTTTAGTGCAGATTCCTGAATTTGTGGAAATGAAATGATGAAAAAGGTGAATCTGATCTGAAGTTCTGGGTTCATCGCACCATAAAGCTTGAGAGCTTCCCTATCTTATTAGTGTTACTGCAATTTCTTGTGGTTTTTTTTTCTAATCTTTGTTGAAATATGCCAGCTTTTTGAAGAGATGTTCAGATGTTCTGATTATTAATGACATTGATGTTTATAATTTCAAAGGGCTGACATCATGTTTGTTACAGCCATTTGTTGCTTGATTTAGCCAACACAACGGGAACTTGATGCCACTGTATATTCCCTGATTTCCCAAGTCTGAAGACTTCCAGAATCAAAACATATACAAACATTAAAGTTTTAGGAAAGGTCTGAATCAGTGGTGGGATCCAAATTGTTTTACTTCTGGTTCTGTGGATATGGCTTGGTAGGCGTGGTGTGGCTTGGTGGGCGTGGCAGGGGAAGGATACTGTAAGAGTGGGAAGAGTCTTTTATTCACATGGATAAAGAAAAACAAAAACAAATGGTTGTCTGTGACAACTGGCCACTCCCAAGCCCCTACTATTTATTTCCCAGCCAGGGAGGTGCTGGCTAGCATGCATGCTTGCTTTTCCTTGAGAGCCGGGTTATTGCTTTTCTTTGCTCTCCTCTCCTTTCCTCTCTGCGCATACACACATCTGGGATGGGCCACATCTCTTCCCCCCCCTCACTCAGCTCAGGCCCTGAAGACAGCTGCCTCTCCACCTGGGGGAGGACAGAAGGCCCCAGCCCTGCCTCTGCTGCTGTTTCCTTACCAGAGCTTTCCAAAGGCTCTGAAGCTGGCCCAGGATCTCCCTCCACCTCCTCGTCTGACTCTGCAGCTAGCTCTGTTGGCAACTGATGGGCTACAACAATTCTTTGCTTCAGACAAAAGCCCAGATACCTGTAGAATTGCAGAAAACCAGGCTGTTTTATTATCCCATCCACTTCATTGTTATAGGGGTATAGGTTAATTGAAAGGTCACTTTGCTTCCTTTTTATTATAATGGAATCAAAACAACCCAAACCATCAGGGGATAATTTTGGTAGTTGCATTTTATAAATCTGCTTGTGCTGCTGCTGTTGAAATAAGGCAACAAGGAGAGTACCAGCCTAACTAAAATCTCTCAGCCACCCTTTCTTTCCCACCTTTTCTATTTTCCAGTCTAAAATACCCCCCCCCCCCCCAGTTATCAATGTGTGCATATTTCACTTATCAGTATTCTTTTAAATAAACCTTTGGTTCAAGAGGCATTTTGGTATGACAACTTGCATATTTAAATATACCTTTCAGTAAACTATGCATTTAGAACTTAGACAACATTAACAATTAACAATTTAGACAATAAATATTAATAAAAATTATTAAGAAGCTGCAAATTGGACTGGTTTGCACTAAAATGTAAATTAAATGCCTTTTTCCCAACCCTACTTTTATCTGATGAATATCTCAAGAATATAGAAAGCATAGATGCAAGAATTGAAATTTTTCTTAAGCATATTTTAGGTGTCAAGCTAAAAATGCTAGAAAAAGGTCCACACTACTTGTGAAATTCATAGGTGGACCAGCAACAGAACTTCTAAGGAACAGTCCCCATTTTGTGCAATATTTTACCTGTGGAAATTTAGGTAGGTCCAACTATGTTCCAGCAACTCTTTTGCCTGTAGTGCTATTTAAGTGACCATAATATCTTGAATATCATCAATTGTTGCATTTATTTTGTTGTACTTTTACATTTGTAAACTGCTCAGAACTCATATGGATTAAAAAGGCTTTATAAATTTTGTTAAATAAATGAATAAAGAAGGCAATTGTATCCATCCATCCATATATTGCAAATCAGGATTCTTGGAAATTGAACTTTCCAAGGTTTTTTTTAAAAAAATAATACCTAGTTTTCAAAAACCTAGAATTTTTGCTCTGGAAGTCTTTTGATGGATTACTTCTCAGAAGCCATGTTTCTGTTAAAGTTGCAAAATGAAAGCTACATTTCTTAGCCAAGTCTTGATCCTCCTTTTGCTCACTAAATGCTATGCCAGAAGACGACTTTGGTAAACCTCTATCATAAATGAAGGCAAAAATATATTTTACATTCTGATATAATTTCATGCACAATTTGGTTCAGATAATATATTTATATATCTCATTCACCCTTTTCATTGCAGGGAGCTGTAACAAACATGGAAAGGTTTGGTGGTTGCTTTACTATATTTCATGGAATTATCTGGCCTGAGAAAGTTCCCTCAGGCAATTCCTCAGGAGAATTATCACTCTTAAGAGTCCTAAGAAAACCTTGTTCTTCACAGCACTGAAATTTACCTCACTGAAACAGATGTAGCACAGCTCCAATATGAAGCAGCATGCAAGGATATTTTTCAGGGAGCAGAGATTTTACGGATATTCACCATCTAGTTCCTGGCAATAAATACATTTTGGAGCATTACACATTTCCTTGCGGGGATTGTATGCTAATTTCTTGTTCCTCCAACAAGCTTGTGGGCATGCATGGCCTGGACTAGAAAAACTGTTTATTTTTAGTCATGTTCTGGGTGTATTGGAAGGTTACCCTTTGTAGGCAGCCACAAAGGCTTGGTTGACCCTATAATTATTTCACACAACAGTTTCATTTATTTCTCTTGCATTTTTTGGTTTCAGTCTTCTTCAAGAATGTGATTTGGATTTCTGTCACATCATCTCCTTTCAGTGTGTCTTGTAGGAAAATCACTTCAGCTGCTAGGTGTATCTGAAAATAAGAAGTTAAATGGATGTTACAGGGACAAAGGTCGCCAATGGTAGGAAAACCATACAATAATGGGGTGTTTTATTCATTTCTTAAATATACATTCTGAGAATCCATCAAATAAGGCTTGGAAAAATAATAAAGACTTTACCTGGTCCTAAAAACATGGCAGCAGGTCAAAATGTGAGATACACACACAGACACACACACACACACACCCATATACTATACTTACTGGTTTTACCTTCACCTTCCCATTTTTTAGGGCACCATTTCTACACCACCTATATGAGATCCAGTTGCAGATAAGGTACATATATAGAAATCGAAGGTCAATGACACTATGAGATAGATTCATTCATTCATTCATTCATTCATTCATCATATTTATATAGCCACCTATCCAGTGGTGGGCTGCAACCAGTTTAACAACCGGTTCGGTGAGCTTTGTGCAGGTGCGCAGCATTAAAAAACCACCTTATTTTAGCCTCTAAAGCTTACCTTCTCAGGCACCGACGGTGAGTAAAACAGCTGAGGTGTGGCAATCCACTGTGCCGCACGAATCAGCTGAGATGAAAAACATGGAAATATAGGACAGGATAGGGCGGAGGCGAGTGGGCAGGGTCAGCTGATAGCTGGAACCACCAGTTTGCTAGAACCAGTCCTAACTGACAGCAGTCCACTATTGCACCTGTCTCACAATCAAGTGACTCTGAGAACACAAATATAGTGGCTGGGGTAAATCAAAAGGTGTTTTTTGTTCGTTTGTTTTGTGCCTTCAAGTCAGTGTTGACTCCAGGCAATTGCCTAGACAAGTCCCTGCAGTTTTCTTGGCAAGATTTCAGAAGAAGTTTGTTGCTGCCTTCTTCATAAGATAGAAAGAGTAACTGGCTGTTGAGAGTAAAACTCCCCTAACACTAAACTGACTCTCCAAAGGTAGAATACCAGACACAAAGCCCACACGCAGAAAAGATTTGTATAGAAGGTCTTTGAAAAGCATGATATAAGCCTAGAAGGACAATCAGCCTCATCTCGTCTGTTTCCTCAATGTCAAATTTACAAAAGGCTAATAGCATCTGTAGGAAAATTTGATTGGATTTGCACAGGACACCATGACACTTAATGCATTTTATTTGTTTGAGTTTTATGGTTTCAGTGAACCTTGACAAGTTTTGATTTATCTAATAAATCATGAATAACAACTCATGGCTAAAGACATTTAAGTACCACAGTGGTTAAGGCATAAGGTCAGAAGCTGGAAGACTCTGAGTCTTAGAAGCAAAATCAGACAGTCACTCACGCTCAGCTCTAGGAGGAAAGCGATGACAAACCACTTCTGAAAATCTTGCCAAGAAAACTATAAGGTCTAATCCAAATCAACAGTGACTTAAAAGCACACACACACACACACACACACACACAAATGTGCACCGGCTAAGGATTATGTGGCCAGGTTTGTACTATATACTAAACAACAAGCCATGGTTACAAACCATAAGAAGTGAATTTATACAATAGCATGATCCAAAATTACTGTTCAGTATAATCACACAATCAAGGCAGATCACGTGCCCTCAGAAGGAACGGGGGAGGGGGCGTGACAACAAAAGCCTTGCAATGTCACAATGCACACTACACCCTTTTATATAGCTGTTACAATGCAAGTACCAAATACTGGAGGTTGTGTCATGATGTCATGCATATTATATTGTCACTAGGGCAGCATCATGGTTAGGAACAAACAAGTATGAGGCTGTTCTGTATATTGGGGGAGGGGGCAGAAAAGGGCAGAGTGGGAAGAGCCAGTATCCATTTTCTTACCATTTCCAGAGCACCTCGGATGGTCCCAGACAACAGGCTGCAATAGCAAAGAGATGATCGACTTGCGGGTAGCTCCTCCACAAAGTCCACTAAGGGATTTTTGGCCAGAATGAGAGAAAACTCATTTCCCATTGCATTGTTGCAAGTCACCGTAGGGGTGACACCCAGATACATCTTAAAAGCAACCTGACAATGGAATGAAACATGTCATCACTGGGTTAAACCATAAATTATCTTAAATAAATTTGGACATTTCGTCTATTTATTACAGGTATGAGCCATGATTTTCAATCAAATACTGGGATTGGGAACTACTGAATGCCAAGAGGGTTAATGTTTGCAGCCTCCTCGGCATGAAGTTGACAACACTTTGCAATAATTTTAGGGATGAGGCTGAGGAGTGAGAATTCACACTGATGCCAATGGGGGCTCTTCTTCTCCGAAGCTCACTGTAGAGTAGCATGTGTATGTGATTATGAGGATTTCCGCTGGAAAGAAACTAATTCACAATCTGAATGAAAACAACTCCCCTGGTTATTGCGTAAAAAGAAAGAAAGAAACCCAGGCACACTTATTGGCTAAGTCTGTTTAAAGTCATGCTTCTTTCCGGAGTTCTGCAGAAAATAGAAAATATGTTTTGTTTTAGTTCTCAAACCCAAACATCCCATTTGGACAGTTCCTTGGAAACAGTTTGAGTTTGTTGCACTTTGACACGAAAAAACCTAAACCAGTTTAAACCTCCTGGAGATCTTAATTGTATTAGATGGTCTCAAAGTATTAATTTCTAAAACAATGATCTCTCTTAAGACAGCAGAAGATTGTGCAAGAAAATAAATTCTTGTCAGTTCATTAGCACAAAGGGAGTTTCTTTCATAAATGTTTTAATGTAATGTCTTGAGTGCCCAAGAAAGTGTAACAGGAGTGATGCATTAAGTTTTATATGATTATTATATGACCTATCCTTTTTCAGGTTGATTAAAAATGGTCAGCAGTATAGATTAATCTTAATCTCAAATTCCTATTTAACCAATACTTGATCATGGAAAGTACCATTCTTTTTTCAATCCTTATTAACCATCTTTTCAGCCAAAAATTAGATGCCTATCTTAATACATTGGTCAGGACCTCACTGAATTCTACTAAGAAATGGACCTTATTTTGACTGTGAATACCCTAAAGATCATTGAAAGAATCTTGCTTCCTCTCTCATTGAAAAATCTTAGGACAACAGTTTTAGTTCTCTGGGCAATCAAGTTTGCTTGTGAGTCAGCCACTTTTTCCTCCAAAGTATGAAAAGCCTTACTTAGATACTTCAAAATCACTTAACCATCAATTGTCCATGCGTATCTTTTAGTCCTTTAGTAAAGACCATAATCTTGGTTGTAAGGTAAGATTACAAACTAAACTCATCATTTATGAGCCATGGTGGCACAGCGGTTAGAATGCAGTATTGCAGGCTAATTCTGCAGTTTGGCAGTTCGAGACTCACCAGTTCAAGGCTGACTCAGCCTTCCATCCTTCCGAGATTGGATAAAATGAAGATCCACATTGTTGGGGGCAATGTACTGACTCTGTAAACTGCTTAGAGAAGGATGTAAAGTACTATGAAGCAGTATATAAGTCCAAGTACTATTGCTATCAAGGCAATACTTTAGGGACTTTCCATTGTTGAGAAGGATTTTAAAGCAGGGGTCCCCAACCCCAGTCCGTGGCATGTCGTAACCAGATGTGCAAACACCAAATTAAACCCCCTCCAGCTCATGGAAAAAAATTTCTTCATGGAAATGGTCCCTGGTGCCTGAAAGGTTGGGAGCCACTGCTTTAAATTATCCAGCCTTGCAATTTCCCTTCGCTCTAATTGAAGCAATTTTTTATAATAATTGGTCAAATTAGATTCTACATTTGGTCCTTATTGAAGGAGGCCCTTCTATTGATTCTTTTGTTCTTTAATGTAGTGTTACCTACATTACCTTTCCCCCCCAAAAAAAAAGATTCAGGGGCATTAATCTCAACTTATCAGAGTACAGGTAGTCCTCAGATTCATTTAGTGACCATTCAAAGTTACAGTGGCACTGAAAAAAAGTGACATATAACTGTCTTTCACACTTATGACGGTTGCAGCATCCTCATGATCATGGGATTCATATTGAGGTGCTTGACAACTGGTTTGTAGTTATGACAGTTGCGTAACTATGATCCCCTTTTGCAATCTTCTGACAAGCAGTCAATGGGGAATCCAGATTCACTTAACAACCATGTTACTAACTAAACAAGTCCAGTGACTCTCCTGACAAATGAAGCAAGAAAAGCCATAAAGGGACAAAACTCATGTTATCACTTAGCAACATAAATTTTGGGCTCAATTGTGGTCATATGCTGAGGACTACCTAAGTCCTGAGGTCAACTTTTGCAGTTAGCATATTGGGGGTTATGGAGCTTACCTTCTATACTGGAAATCTCTACTGAATGTTTGGTTAAAGAGGGAGTGAATTTTATAATATTGGAATTATATAATATGCTGAAGTCTCTACAATAGTTAGATCAGTTCTTTGTTCCTTAACATCATCTAATTCTAGATCTTACTTAGGATGCTCAACACCTAAAAAACCAAAAGTTGAGATGCATCACTTTAATTAGGTCCTTGATTGTTTCTAGAGTTAAAAATTCTTTCCAGTTATGTTAATGCAATCATTCAGTATTATTCCTGCCACACGCTTGGTTGAAATAATAGAGTTGTTTATACAGCTGCACTTGTGTAATATTCTATTCCTTCTTAAGGTCTGAGAAGTGATTTGTCTTCTTTATTAATGTTACTTCCCCATGCTCCACACAGCCCCAGAGAAGGCAATGGAGCTGTATGTAGTTATTAATCAGCTCTGTGACATGGCTTAGTTATCTTCAGGAACAGTGGTTTGGACTTCAGTGGAATATAATTAAACCACCCTGGATCAATGGACATAGCCACAGATCTCTAAATACAACAATATTCACAGGTTAAGACAGATCAGGTTTATTCTGTACAATGTCCGGAGATTTAGTTGCTGTTGAAAACTCCGTAGGATCCTGTGCTATTAAAAGGCACCAAAAAACCATTCTACTGATTTTAAGTCATGGGAGGTGGCACTAACTAGACAATCTACAATAATGTTCAGGGCATGAATTATGCATGAGCTACTTGGGTTGATAGACTTTATGTCTGTATTGTTGAATAATTTCTAGGTTTCAACTGAGGCTATTATACTCTTTGAAGATTTTCTTGCTGTCTGCCAAGTTTCTTCAAAATATTTAGGCTCCTCTAAGAATAGAAAACATAGTATGTTGTTTTTATTAATGGCTCAATGATGTTGATGTTAATGGCACTTTGATGTTCTATCCTAGAAGACAATTTTACTTGCTGCTTCTTAGTCTTCTCTTTTGTTTTATTGGAATTGGAATGCAGTGGCTTCTTCTGGTTCATTATTTCGGCCACTGTCAAGTTTTCAACATCCATTGAACTCCAATCACCACAACAGGGAAAATTACAACCCCACCCCCAATAAATCAAAATAAATAACTAAGCTTTGTTTAATGCTGGAAAGAACAAAGCTTAGAAGAATCATAATAGATTTTCTCATCATGAGCTTAGACATTCTTCTCTTGCTCAACAAAACCCCTTTTATTAAAAGGTATGTGCTAAAAAGAAGGAAAAACTCCAGCAAACACAGTGAATTTAAAAAAAATTGCAGCAAAATATACCATTTGCTATATCAGCAAGTGTATATACAGATTGCATGCATACCCAAGGTAAGAAAGCCAACCAGAATACAGTGGTTTGCATTTTATAATACTCTCCAAGGTGTCCGCAAATAAACAAACAAAAAATAAGAGAATGTGGACTCCAAAATATTCAGTGTATGACAAAACCAACACATCAACATAGAACGTTTGAGGAAAGTTTGGTTATTTTTATGTACTCTGTGCATGTTGTTCATACACACCAACAAAGCTCAACAGGCCACTCAAACTAATACTGGACTAAGCAACAACTACAGGAGGATTTAAAAAAAAAAACAAGTATGTCTATATAAATTCATGTAGTTTTTTTGAACCACAAAAAGTGCTGAATATGATTGCATGTTTTGCTTTTACACCCCACCTATGAGTCTTTTGAATGCCATGCACACAGGCTTAAACTCACCCACACAATGTTCACCTTGCCCATAGTTATCGCTACAAAAATCTGGCTTTCCCATTGACTTTGCTTTTCAGAAGGTCGCAAAAGCTGATCACATGACTTCAGGACACTGCAGCCGTCATAAACACAAACCAGTTGCAAAGCATCCAAATTATGGTCATGTGACCAATGGGATGTTGCAACAGTTGTAAGTGTGAAAAATGGTCATAAGTCACTTTTTAAAGTGACATTGTAACTTTGAATGTTCACTAAATGAACTGTTGTAAGTTGAAGACTACCTGTACACCATGTTTCTTGAAATGTCTACACCAGCCCAGTTTGCTGAAACTCTGTACCCATTTTCAGTTATGCAGAAGTTGAGGATTGAGAAAAATAATTACAGGGTAGTTTTAGGCTTCTATGACTTGGGATGAATGTTGAAAGAATCCAAAAGAAGCATTAACTCAGGAAGGAAGAGAAACGTTAACACTCAAGGTTGAATACTGGGGCCTCAACTTCATTTTTAAAAAAAATGCAAATAACATTAATAATATTAAAAGAAGAAAAAGAAATTGGGGAAAAAGAATTTCAATATTTCAAGCTATCCAGCTGCCGAGCACCAAACCCTTAAAAAGCTAAATCAAGAAGTGAATCTTGAGGTATATTACAAGGTGTGTGAATTACAGTGTGTCGGTGATGATATAACTACATTTATTTTCCTTCCAGCTTTCTGCTTAGGACTCAGAAAAGGGCTATATTAAAAAATAAAAGTTTCTTTCACAAAGAAAAGGACAAGCCCACATTTAAAGAGAAAAAGCATCAAGTGAGTAGAAATAAGTTTATTAGGTTGGCGTTGATTTATTTATTTATTTTTTTGGATGTGCTGTTCTAAGTGTTCTTTAGAACATGCTTTTGTCTCAACTACGCACTAGGTCTCTTTTTTTAAAAAAAAGTTTCTGATATATTTGTGCCATAACAGTTTAAAAATTGGAATACAAATACTCCAAAATCAGCTCAAGGCAAATACATAAAGCTGTAAAAACTCTACTAATGTGATTCTTAGGCGTGTATTTGGAAACTGGGCTTGGAAATTGCCTGAAGGCAAATAGTGCAATCCCAAGGCTAAGATAGCTCTTCCCAATTAAAGCTCTTTCAGATACCTTGGATTATAACTTCCAAATTTCCAACCACTGGTTCTATTAGCTGGGAATCACACAATTTGGAGTCTAACATATATAAGAATGGGAGCGTAAGAGAGATCTCTGGGTCTGAGAAAGAAATAGGGATATCTGAAAATATTACTAAAGATGAGCAGATGGATGTTTTAATGTCAATCTTATTTGGGAAAAGGGTGGATAGCCTATTCTGGAAAAAGAAGTGCAAACAGTTCTCGGAGATCTTTGATTCACTAATGAGTACTGAAGTTTTGGGCTTATTCAGTTTCTCTGATTCTCTACAGCAGGACTGTCTAATGAACCAGTTGCGTCACACGCTGGCCACGCCCAGGCCTGGTTTAGAGAAGGGGGGGGGAAATTGTGATATGTCATGTGACACTGCCATTATGCCACAACTTTGACACCCCTGCTTTATAGTAACCTTTACCTTCTTCACATTAAAGCTAACCTTGTGAATCTTTCTTTCTGGGTTATAGTCTGCTGTTAGGGGGGCAGACTGGAGATAAAGTGGTAAGAATTTGGCTCAGCCTTGCCAAACGAAGGCGAATCAGCATCCTTGGGTACCTGTGCAATTATGTCTGCAGTTTCGGAATAACTGCGGCATTTCTTCACAGCAGAGCGAGCCAAGAAATCCTCAACCAATCTGATGCCGATGCTGTATCCCCTGACCAAGGAAAAAAGAGAGAAAAAAGGTGAAGAGGTGTCAGCAGGGATGGGATTCTACCAGATGTTAAGTTTCCATCTGGTTCGCCGAACCAGTATTTCAACCGGAAGTTGCAAAATGGGCCTGGTTCCAGCTTCCAGTTGGCCTCCAGAGCCCGGGGAGGCTGTTTTCGACCTCCCAGAGACCCAGGGGAGGCCTCCGGACCCTTGGGAAGGCGAAAAATGGCCTCCCTTGGGCTCTGGAGGCCCACCAGAAGCCAGAAACAGATCCGTTTCCATACTTCTGGGAATTCCGGTAGGCCACGCCCATCATGGCCACGCCCACCCAGCAACTGGGAAGTGAACCAGTTGCTGGGATTTTCGAATCCCAGCCCGGGTGTCAGGTGAACTTGAATGTGAATATAAATGGACACGTGACACACACTGTTTCAAGCATAAAGGTAGGATAAAATTCATAGATAAGATGCCATGGCAAATTTTCTACAAGAGGATTATAACAACAATTTGTTAACAGAGCATTTTGAAACTTTAACCTCGGCTTTATTATTATTATAATATTGTTCTTCCTGCTAACCATTTTGTCATGAATATAGTATAGTCATAGAAGACAAGTCAATAATTTGCAAATAGATTTAGTTGTTTAAACATTTTGGAGGGAGGCTGTTTTGCAAGGGATGGGGACCAAGATTGTAGTAATGTATTAATCAGTATTCAGTTAGGGGGATAACGTGTGTGTATGTGTTGAAGTTTTTTTTCTTTTTAATGCACTCTAGTTTTTAGTCTATTTTTGTTTTTTTTTTGAATTTTGTATTTTAACATTCTTTTGAATAACATTTAAAAAATAGTAAAAAAAAGGGCAGGATAAAATTCATAATGTAAATAAAACAATGGATGCCATACTCTGGAGAAGAGGTGCATTTCGAAACAAAGAAAGAGTATGGTTCCAATTTGAAGAAAGCAGTATTTTCTGGGAGTTGGGGCATTTACTGTTCTTTAAAGGGAAGAAGAAAGAGAAATTCTTATATCTAAAAACAAATATTCATTTCCTTTACTCTACCCACAAAAACCACGATTGAAGGTACTGAGAGAAACATCAGGCAAAGCAAGTTCATTATTGCTTTTCGTTTTATTTTTGCAAAACAAGTCCCTTTCTATAACTTTCCAACCACAACATTATGGAGGCAGAGAAAGAACATTAGCACTTTAAATGTTTACTTGTTTGAAGGGCAGAGAAATTTTAATTAGTCAGATCCTTCACTACTTTAGGGGGCACAGCCTGAAGATTATTGCATACTTCTATTGGCCAGCTGAAAGTAACACCGATTGGCTTATAGTGATTTCTGAATTGTTGCAGCATTCCAAGCTCAGTAAAATAGAAAGGATTGGATGGTCAGCTTCAAAACAGCTTGGAGAGTAGAAATAGAATCCTACCGCCATTTCCCAAGCTGATATCTACACCCAAATAAACAGACTGAAGAACAGGGACAAGAAAACCAGCCATTTTCTCTCAAATTTGCCGTGCTGCTTCTTGCCATCTTATACTTACATGCTGTCCAAATATTTGTTTACATCTTCATCCTTTTCATAATCCTTACACAGCTGGGCGACCAAAGCACCGTAGGTGAGCACAAAAAGCTCTCTACTCTGTCAATAACAGGAAATACTGAATGAGAATTGAAGAAAAACATACAATCTTCTACTCCAAGAGCAAGAAGGCTATATAAATATCTTTGAAAAAAAACAAGAGAACCCAGACAGAAGCTAGGTTCACATATAATGCAAATCCAAAAAGTGGTTTTGCTTTATCGCACTGAATGACCCCCATGATTGTGGCTTGTTAATCAGGGTTTATTATCACTCAGTCTAAATGTGACTCCAGCCACAGCGGCCTTATTAATGCAATATGTCGATCCAGGGAGTGTCCATTGCACAACTGCATTTGTGCTGAAAAATAATACAACCATGTCTGCCAGTATGAATCCCCCAAATATCCCAGGATCCACTGACAAAAATTAGGATAGATGAATTAGTCAGTCTACATACCATGTGATGAGCTGATGCAGAGGATGAAATGGTAGGCAAATGCCAGTCCTATAAACATAAAAAGAAGTAAAAGAAGAGGGAGAACAAAAGATCTTGATTTTTTTAAAAAAAATATTTTACTTTTTAAAGAACAATTTATGATGAATTGGAAAGACAATTCACTAATCAAAAGAAAAAAATAGCAATAAACGACTTAATGAGAAATAATACCAAAAAGAAACACAATAGAATTTAGCTCTTAACTGGAGTTAGGAACTAGGCATGCACCAGAATCAATTGTGTGTTAAGGCACTAGGCTAGAAACCAGGTGACAGTGAGTTCTAGTCCCACCTTAGGCATGAAAGTTGGCCTGGTAACTTGGGCCAGTCACTCTCTATCAATCCAACTCATCTCACAGACTTGTTGTTATGGGGAAAATAGGAGGAGAATGGAGTGTTAGCTATGTTAGTCTCTTTGAGTTATTTATTAAAATGATAAAAATGGGATGTGTAAATTAATACATAAAATGTTTCTGTATACAATATTGCTTCAAATGCATATTTTCTTTTGGGCAATACAATATAGTGCCATGTTTTTCAATCTTAGCAACTTTAAGATGGATGGACTTTAAGACCGAGAATTCCCTTAAGATTATGAAATAGTGTTATAATATGAGTTTGCATGGGTGATATTTGCTTCTTTTTGAGAGAAAAATATGACTAAAAATGTAAAAATACTGCCACTCCTGGTGCTGCCACCTGGTGGCCTAGAAGAAGAAAAATATGAAGGCCTGTCCAAAATATCAGGAGATGAAATTATTGGAGAGGCAAAATGACAGTATCTTCAATAAAATTTCTGCTTGGACCATTCAAATATACATGCAGAACATCTATATTGGGGTGGGGCAGTTGCTTCATTGAAAATTGCCTCAGCTGAAAACCAGCTCCTTACAAAACATCTTACCATCTTAAAGACAATTCAGTGTCAAACTGATTCAAAGAACTAGAAAAGTTTAAACATAAAAACAGGTACAAGTCAGAAAAGTCAAAACAAAATGTAGACCAACAACATCTCTTTCTTTCCCAGATTCTACTTGCACTGGGTATGGCTGAGAGATTAAATCTTACTGTTTGCACTGTTAAATACATTTTAATGAAATCATATAACTTGTCATGCATTCATCAAAATATACTGTACTTCTAAGATCTGGATTCATAGCCTTATGTAACCAGAAGGAAAATTTCCTGGGGATCCTTGGAAAAAGGAAGGAAGGGATGATAAGTAGAGAAGAGGACAAATTATTTCAGGCATCTATGACCATCTATTGCCTCAGACTTTACTAAAAGAGTAGCATGCCATCAAAATCCATGAATGCCAGTTATTGTTACCATTAGCATCTGATGAGAACATGATGGAAGTGAAGTAAACATATACACACAACTCACATAATTTTATACAAAACTTCTACGGGGCACGGCAGTGGCCTCATAACTGATGAATGCCAGTGTTTTGTGGGTTTCCTATAGATTCAATTTTGTGGAAAATCATCCTTGCCATAACCGCAAGCACTGAAACTGGAAGTATGGTAAAAAGAGTTCTTTCTTCCCACTCACCTCATTTAAAAAGTAAACAGTGAAGACTTCACTAGTATACTGAATTCACAAAATACATTCAATAGGGATAATGAAGAATACCCCTTAAAGTAGCAAACATAATAAAGTTTGGTAGGTGCTAGTAGATATACAAACAAGTCTTACGATTTTGGAGTTCTCTGGTCTTCTATTTGCTGGGTGTGCCATTCTTCTTGGACATTAGGAAGATACCAGCAGTTATTATATTCCTTCTGACTTAGATAGCATTTTTCCTCTGCTCCTTTGGTTGCTTGTTACTCTGTTTCTTCCTCAACCCTGGTCCTATTGCCCTTGCTACACCCTGGTTGTAATGAACTCCGATGCTACAGATCCTGCTTTTTCCGATGCTCCTCCTCTTCTCGGTAAGCCTAAAGTCTTCCAACAGAAATGTGTTTGGCAAGGAATCCGGCTTACTTCAGTAAACAATCTGACTCAGATCGTTAACTGATCCATTAAACAAAACAGCCTGCAAATTACATGTAAAATGGCTATCTCTCTGCTTGAAGCTGCCACTGAGGAGATACTTTCAGAGAAGCTTTTAACAAGGCCCTGCCTTGTTCGTAATATTTTATGGTGGGGGCAAAGGACATTTTCCACTCTCCATCTTTCTTTGCCATTTTCTGAGGTGCTTTTAGGGCAAGCTTTTATAGCACATTTGCCCTAACTTAGTACGCAATTTAATGAGAATGTCAGATGAAAGCGCCTTCCATTTGTAAAACTTTGCTTCTTATTGTATCGCTTTTTCCATAATCTCTTTCTTTCCTAGGTGTCCATCAGAGACAAAAGGGCTCAGTAGAGCTTTAGACCAAAAGAGCAAACACTCTTCCCTTTCAATTTCCACTAGACAATTCATGACACCCCCCCCCTTCAGTTATTTCAGAGATATTTCCTTATCAGATTTCTCAATGCCTTCAACAATGGCAGAACTTCAACAATGGCAAACGTTCTTTTAAATTCAGGAAGATATTCAAAGGTACATCTGAATGTAGCCCACGTTGAACTGTATAGCACAATCAACTCCATCAGTTGACCACAGGGAAAAAAAATATATTTTATGTTATGTCACAAAATGCTTTACGATCATTTTTATGTCATAAAGTATTGTATGAACGTTGCCAAACTTCAACTGCATAGGAATCCAGAGTCCTGGATTTTGGAAGCATTCTGTATGTTTGTTCATTTGACATATTTTGGTTCAAAATGTTTTGCTCCACGGTGCACCGTTTTGCCCAGTTAAAGATTATAGGAAAGAAAGTTTTAGTAGGATATGGATAAAGAAAAGCCAGTAAGGAGGGAAAGAGAGGATGGTTTTTGACCGGTAACATCAAGGAATTCTCCCTTTGGAATTGCCCTAAGATATGGGAGCATAAACTGAGACATTAGAACACTGACGGTTTAGCCTGAAGGTTCAGTCTAGAGAGCGAACTCACAGATTCCTCTAAATATTCTGCCAAAATATAATTTTTAACATGGCAGAGCATGATTCAATACATAGCAAGTGATTAGTTATTTAAACAATACACTAAACAACTGATTAGCTACTTAACTCGTGGACTGCAAAATTTACAACACCCCCTAAAATATTAAATTTATTCAGCCCCCTGGTAATGAAGAAACCCAGTTAGGTTTCTTCATTACACAAGGTGACACAAGGTAAGAAATTGGGAGGTTGTGAGTTCAGTCCCCTAGCCCCGTCCCCAATAAAAGAAAGGTGCCCTCTTCCAGGATGGCACAAGATGACCTCTGTAGGTGCATCAGCTGGGCTTTCTTTTGGAAAGGGAATCTTTGGAAGCCATAAGTGGAACAATGTGTGATGAAGCGAGGAGGAAGCCCAGGGCTATGGGACCTGGCAGGGCAGGAAGCAGGCCAGTGGTGGGATTCTAAATTTTTTTACTACTGGTTCTGAGGGTGTAGTGTGGCTTGGTGGCCATGACAGGGAAAGGATACTGCAAAATCTCCATTCCCTCCCCACCCTACTAACCTGCTTTCCAGCTCCGTTCTCCAATGCAGGGCAACAAAAGAAAACCCAGCCAATCTGCTTGGACTCGGGAGGAAGAGAATACATGGGGGTGGGGCCAGTCAGAGGTGGTATTTTCTGGTGGTCTGAAGTACTCAAAATTTCCACTACCGGTTCTCTAAAACTGGTCAGAACCTGCTGAATACCACCTCTGAAGCAGGCTCAAGGCTGTGGGCCCAAAGCTGTGGGCCACATGGGAGGGTTGCTATGCAAGGTATGCCTCAGGGTAGGGGAGGCCCTGGGGGACCCAGCACAAGTGACATGTGAGTTGGGGGAGCAGTGCAGTGTGCACGGTTGCTGCAGTGTGCACAGTGAGCCTGAAATAAGAGTGTGGGTTTCCCACATCCCGAAGCACCCCATGCTCCTTTTGGATCCACATGTGGTTGCTTAACATTTGCAATGGGGAGACCTGGGATTGCAGTCATGTTAGTATCTCTATTAAAGATAGCAATGACTTGTGATCATAATTCCCAGCTCAACTGTGGTTATAAGTCAAGGCCCTACTTGTAACTCAACCCTGAGCTAGAGACATTCTCGTCTAATAACAATAATATGAAGGCTGGGCAGAGAACCAATAGTAGGACCCCAAAGACATCATATTGCTTGTTCTTGTTCATTGAACTAGGGTGGACAAAATGTATGGCAAAGCAAGCAGAGTTTCAACAGAAGTCTGCAAAATAAAGATGGTTATTGTTGGGTATATGGATACTCCAACTGGTTTGGGTTGAATAAATATGT